TGGTAACAAGTAACATCTATATTAAAATTCAATAAATTAATTGAACACAATACTACCAGTTATAGAAGAGAAAAAAAGATAGTGGAAAAGAATGCTTTCAAGTGTATCCTATTGCAAAGGGCCTTAAAATGCAAAATAACAAGGAATTTTATAACTGGAAATTTTTTCAAAATCTTGTAGATTGTCTTTTCTGTTTAAGAGATGAGAAAATGAGACACAGAGAAAAGATAGATACACATCTACAAATGATAACAGTATGGGGAAGAGGTGAGAAAGGGCCTGGGTATCTTGACATTCAGTTTTTTTCTTTCTTTTCGACCATAAAAATGAGCCATGATATTTCTTACTTTTTAACTTTTTAACCATAAACTGCTAAATAAATAAATAGTAAAATTTTGCATAAAAGAAAAAACATATCTTTCTTAAATTTCACTAATTTTCAACTATGAAAATTATGAAGTATCCAACTATTAAATAATTTCAAATGTAAGAAAAATCAACCTAATGTTTTAAGACAACTTTACTTTAGTTTTTTGGTCTATTTTCTTAACCCAAAAAATACAGTTTTAAAAATGTATTTCAAGGTTTTTTTGAAATAAAAAAGATATGTGAAACCCTTAACAATATTTTGCATCTAAGTTGATGAACATTGGTGATTTTTATTAATAAATGAATAAAGTAAATATTCATTTATTCAAAGCTAAGAAGTAGGGCCAAGTTGGCCAGGTATTTATTCATTCAATAACACTGAGGGCCTGTCTGTAAAACACTGTGTTAAGACCTGTGAGAGAAGCAAAAATAATAAAACAGGTCAAAACTACTGCAGTATGTAGTTATAGATTAATGCTCTTTAAAAGAAGGAAATATGTAACATACTTTTCTATTTCTCAAATATAGTTCTAGACCCATAGAGATTTAAATTTAATTGAACTACAGCTTCTCTTTTTGAGGCCACTGATTTCTGAATGGTATTGAAGAAACAAATTACTAGTACCTTTAAATGGAATTATAGTCTTTGCCTGTAGCTACATTTCACTGTCCAATTCAAATACCACTGGAAGACCCATTCTGATAAGAAGGGGGCGGAGAGAGAACAGAGAAAGAGAATGATAGGAAGCTGGGGGGGGGGGGGGGAGAGAGGGGAACAAGAAAACATCCTTAACGGGGGGGGGGGGGGGGGGGGGGGTGGGAGAGAGGGGAACAAGAAAACATCCTTAACTGAAATAATTCAAATTGTGACAAATGAAGATAGGGAAAGAAAGGAGAAATTTCAACAACATTATTAAGAGCACTAACTTCTCTCTAGGGCAGGGATTGGCAAACTTTTTCTGTAAAATGTCAGAGAGTAAATATTTTGGGCTTTGAGGCCCATATGGTTTCTCATAACTACTCAACTATGGAATTGTAGGTGAAAGCTGCCAGAGACAATAAGTAAATGAATAGGTAGGGCTGTGTTCCAATAAAACTTTATTTATAAAAAAACAGATGACAAGCCAAATTTGGGTCAGGGGCATAGTTTGCTGACCCCTTGCTGTAGGAGAAAGAATACAAAGAGTTCATCATTAAATATTGATACATTCCTAAAAAATTACTGTAGAATCTGCATTTTTTTTTTAAAAAAAAATATGACCGGCAAGGGGATCTTAACCCTTGACTTGGTGTTGTCAGCACCACGCTCAGCCAGTGAGCGAACCGGCTATCCGTATACGGGATCCGAACCCGGGGCCTTGGTGTTATCAGCACCGCACTCTCCCGAGTGAGCCACGGGCCGGCCCAGAATCTGCATTTTGAAATAATAAAACAAATGTTTTTTGCTTGTAAAGAGGGGAACTAAACTATTATTGAAGAGAAAGTATTTCCCAAATGAAATTTTATACAAATATAACCAATTCCATTTTCTAGGCATAAATACCAAATCTGATAGTAAATTCTAAGTACTTCCCTGTCCAAAAGTAATTTTTATAAACAAAAGAAGCTCTGGTTCTGACTTTTGTGAGGATCAGAAAGGAAGAATATAATTACAGCATACTTTGATTCACTAAAGTATGTATTTACTAGTAACAGCAGCTAAAAACACCAGGCAAAAGAAAAAAAAAAAGGAATTACTACATTTTTCTTCCCCCCAATAAGTCAGATGGTGCTATTTATTCAGGCTAGTACTTTTTCACTGAAAGAAGCATTAAGAATGCTACTGCAAAATAATAAAGTGGTCAGTTAAGCAAAAGGACATTAAAAATTCTAAACATTTATGTCTATATTAGCAGAGCTTCAAAATACACAAAGCAAAAACTGATAAAACTGCAAGGAGAAATAGACAAATCTACAATTATAATTGGAGATTTCAATACTCTTCTCTCAATAATTGATAGAACAAGTAGGTAGAAAATCAGCAAAGATAAACTAGACTTGAACTAACAGTGTCAATCAACATGACTTAATTGATGTTTAATAGAACAGTCCACCAAACTACAACAGAATATTCATTCTTATTTCTAAATACTACCAAGAAACAGCTTGGAAATGGAAATTTTTAAAAAATCACTTATAAGAGCATTAAAAACACATAAACATCTGCCAAGATAGACCATATTAACTGGTTTACACATTAACTGGTCATTAAACAAGTCTTATTAGATTGAAAAGAATACAAGAAATAACAAACACGTTCTCTGATCACAATAAAACTAAATTAGAAATCGATAATAGAAGTACGTCTGCAAAATCCCCTAATATTGGGAGCTTAAATAATACACTTTTAAATAACCTATGTATCAAAGAAGAAATCAATAGAGAGAATAGAAAATATTTATAACTGAATTAAAATGAAAACACAATAGCAGAATTTGTAGGATGCCACTAAAGCAGTTTACATTTAGGAGTGAATTTATAGAACCTATGTTAGAAAATAGAAAGGTCTGAAAGCACTGGTCTCTTCTTCTACCTTAAGAAGCTTGAAAAAGAAAAGGAAATTAAACCCAAGCAAGCGGAATAAAGGAAACAAAAAAGCAGAAATCAGTGAAATACAAAACAGAAACAAAGACACCAAACACTGGTTCTTTGAGTAGATTAGCAAACCTGTAAGACAGACTAATTTGGAAAAGAAAGAGAAGAAACAGGTTACCAATATCATGAAGAAGTGGTGGCAGCTCTCAGAGGATTGTTGTCTTGCAGGATGGCAGCCTTTGCATTAAGAGATGTATTAAAAGATAAGTATTTGTTCTCATTACTACCTTATTCAAAAATTAGAGATAGGCTTCCAGCTTCCCTACAATGAAGAATTAATTACTCATAAATTAACTGAATTTATTTTTAAAGTGCACAATTTCCTGACAAAATGCATTCTTTCATTGATTCATTAAAAACTCTATCTCCACTGGTTATCACTTTCTTTATACTTGGACAATTATAGTTACCATTTTATGGACTCTCTTGATCTCTGAAGTCCTTGTGTAGTAGACACTGCCAGTGCCCCACCCACATTGCCTTATCGTCCACCATTCCCTTCATAGCAATTGTCTTCTTTCTGTAAGCATTTGTAATACTCTGCCTAAGTGCCTCCTCCAGCCACAGGAACATGTTTGAACGGCAAGTTCCAGAGAGTTAACAACCCACATGAGCAGCCCTGAACCAATAACAGAAGAGAGTTGATGGGCCAATACTCCAGCTTCCTTGCCCATTATGTAGGATAATTCTGAGGTCATTCTACCCTGTCTTCCAGAAGACCCTAGAAGATTGAGACAATTGCCAAAAGAATTAACCTACACTCGATTGTACCCAGTACAGTATTGTGTTCTTTCTCTTAACTGTATCATTTCCCACTCCCCATACAGGTGGTGCCTGGGATTGCCTTCCAAATAAACTATGCATCCGAATCTTTTTCTGCTTAGAATGGACCTCAGTCTAAGATGGTTCTCTACCCTCAAATTTCTTGGGTTCTCGATATTTCACCCTGAGACATTTAGACAGCATTCCAGCCATGAAACCACATCGTTATACCCAAAGATAGGACTACATGTTCTGTTTCACTTTTTACTACCTTTCGAAAGAACTGGTATAACCATTATTTTATTATTTTCTCAAAACATAGCAACATATTGGAATGATGATTTTAGACACCATCTAATGTGACTCCCAGTTATCTTACTTGTTATGCCTGATACCTCAGAACCCACCATGATATAAGTACAATTTAGATTTGTTTTTCCACAAAGGCATGACTTTGTAGTTACTCAAACAGAAAGGTATTTGCCACTTCTGAGAACAGAAATAGTATAAACCAAGTGTTTTTGTGTTTGTTTGTTTTTTAATTTTCAATTCAAACAGAGGAATAGGGGAATAGAAAAATAATCTTCCCATGAAAATTTTTTATTCTCCCCCTTCCAAATGTAGGAAACATAAGGACCCTAAATAATATTTTTCAACGTCTAACACTTTGAAAATGGAGAAGACCATAACTGGGCCAAAATATTTACAACAGAGTTAGCCCATGGATACATCAAACTCATGAAATCCTTCACCATAAACCTACTGTTTGATCTGCATTTATTTGTTTGGAAAACCACATCACCCTTTAGCCCAGGAGAGAACCTTCCGAGACATAGTTAACTTCTGCCATCCTCTTAACTCCCACCTCCAGTTAGTCCCATATATCCAACCTCTATAAAGAGTCTTAAAACCATCTCTCTTCTTCATTCCCATTTCTCCTATCCCTGCTTGTCTTTCCTATGACAATAACCTCCTACCTAAGTTCCCCAGTTTATTTCACTTCTTTATTCTGGTAAATCTACCTGATAACCTAACACTTCCACATCAAACCTAAGATAGTTCAAATCTATGATAGCTCAAGTCCTGAACATTACATTCAGTATTTACATAAAACATGTGCGCAATGACATCATATTTAGGCAATTCAACGTTGCCTAAATGTTATATGTATTTTAATTTGTTTGGAATGAAAATTAAAAATAATACATTTCCTAAAGATTAAACAAAATGTTTACCTGTCTGAAGCTATGTCACTGGAAATTGGGTGCTTCACTCCTGACCCATTTTTAATAGAATCCTGTCTTGTGAGCCCATGAGATCGACTTTTCTCCACTGCCGGTACAGATAAGTCACCTGAGTGTCCTTGGAACTGGGCCTGCTCATGTAGTTTTGCTTTCTTCTCTTGAGGCGCCTCCTCATTTCTCAGTCCTTGAGGAACCTTTTGATCAGGTTGATGTGGTGTATTAGATCCACTATTATAAAACCATGCTCCTGATTTAGTGAGGATTTCTTGTTGTTTTCGGCACAAATTACATACCCACATAACCTGCACACGAAGACAAAGGGAAAATAAATTAGTGCTCCCAAAAGTTAAAAACAAACAAAAAGAGAGACAACAAATCAAACCAACAGAAAATTATATAGTTATCCTTTTGAAGTTAAAATGTAATTCAGATTAACTGCTACCATAAATTAAACAATTTATCCCTTCTTTTAATTTTTTCAGGATACTTGAAATAGATAACATTTACTGACAGAAACACCAAACCAAAGTGTCAAATTACTAATTGTTTATTTGTCTTCCTTAATTATATTATATTTAAATTAGGGGCATGGTGAGTATACAGAAAATGGATTTTGAAACTAGACAGGTGGGTTTAAATACCAACTTCAAGATCAGAAACTTTGCAACTTCAACAAGGTACTGAACCTTCATGTCTATAAAACTTAGTTTCCTTAATGATAAGATAGAGAAACAAAGATAATACTTATCTTTCTGTATTGTTTTGAGGATTAAAGATTAGAAATAATTTATGTAAGATGTCTAGCACAATACCTGGTATATATATTAAACTTCCAGTAAATTAGCATTTAATATTAAGTTAATCTACTTTCACCAATTATATTATACTTTTTGAGAGGATTTTTATTTCTTTTTACGTAGCTCTTAATGTCTAAAACAAAGCTAGAAACATTGTTTATCATCAATAAAAACCTACTAGTTGCTCATAATTTACAGTAGACACTCAATTACTTTTAATATGGTAAAAAACACATAACAAAATTTACCATCTTAACCATTTTTATGTGCACACTTAAGTAGTGTTAGGTATATTCACATTGTTGCGAAACAGATCTCCAAAACTCTTCGTTCAAAATTAAAACTCTATACCAATTAAACATTAACACCCTTTTTCCACCCTCCCCCTAGCCCCTGGTAACAATCATTCCATGCTTGATTTTTTTTTTAATAGATATGTTTTTCAGACTACAGGAATCTATGTATATTATAATTAATATCTGTGTGACCAGAAAACTCTTCGCCCTCAATTAATCAGAAAAAAATAAAATCATATTATCATGAAATAAAAGGTGAGTTCATATTTCAAATGAATATTTGCTAATGTTTTATTTTTGTTTTATTTATTTACTAGAACTTACACAGCTCTCCAGGTTGCTAAATATTATCTCACATTTAAATAAGTTATAGTAATATAGATATCACAGAAAAAAAGATTCAACATGGTGTTCTCAACCAATACAAGGAATTTTTGTAAAATACCATTTAAATTTTTTGCTTAATTGTCCATTATTCTAGTTCATATTGCTTGTATGGTTCATATCAAACAACATTGTACTGGATCACTTTTTATTATATTGCTCTTTCACTGTATTGTATAAATTTCTTTTTTCCCTAACTAACTTTGAAGCTCATTAGAGGCAGGGACTATGTCTTCTACTAGCATAATAAGGCCTTATAAATTATAAAATAGTAAAATCTTCTAAATGCTTGCTAACTTGAATTTGTTTGAAGTTCTGGAGGAAATAAGATATTTGATATTATCACACCAAAATTTATGTTTCATCAATTTCCAAAAGAATAAGTAATCAACAATGTCAATACATGTATCTATTTTATTTTTATAAGTAAATAATTAAGTATTTTTGAAATGAAAATATCAGTATCTCACTCTAATTGAAATATATATATATACATATATATATATCATAGTTCAAATTTCTTTTGCTATTATTGGTTTGAATAGAAATAAAATATAAATATATCTAACCCACCAAGTCTCAAAAAATCAAATTTCACATAAAATCTCCAGCCTTTCAATGCCATCTTGTGACAAATATAAGTATTGCAGATCTCTTTTAAAGGCACACTAAATACAGAACAACAAAATAATGTACAAGTAAATGAAGTTAGGATTTCAACTTTTCTGTTTTAAACAAATTACTATTCATATTACAGTGATAATCTATGCTAGATGATTCTAATATATGAACTTATCTGTAATAAGTTACACTCAGAATACTGAAGTATGGCATTCTTTTGTGCCTGATAATTAACAATGAAGTAGAAATGAGAGGGTTTTTTTTTCCCTTTTTGTCTTTTTCGTGACCCGTAACGGGATCGCAACCCTCAGTGTCACACCCGTACCGCAACCGGCAATGGGATCGCAACCCTCGGTGTCGCGCCCGCACCGCGCTCAACCAGTGAGCGGACCGGTCTCTATATGGGATCTGAACCCTCGGCGGGAGCGCCGCCGCACTCCCAAGTGCCACACTCTACCGAGTGCGCCACCGGGCTGGCCCAGAAATGAGAGTTTTGACAGACAATTATTTAATCATTGTCATCTGCAGAAACAACCTCTTGCGACTTCCTGTCACAAGGTAGGTAGATTACTTAACATCTTTTAGAGCAGAGATAATATATCTCTGCAATAATATATCTCTCAAATAATATCCCTGCAGCATTGGTATCACCTGGAACTTGCTAGAAGTGCAAATTCCCAGGTCCCATCCCTAGCCTACAGAATTAGAAACCCTAGAGCAGAGCCCAGAAAGCTGTGGGTTCCCCCCCCCCCCCCCCCCCCCCCCCCCCCCCCCCCCCCCCCCCCCCCCCCCCCCCCCCCCCCCCCCCCCCGCAAAATCCTCCACGTGATTCTGATGTTTACTAAAGTTTGAGAACCACTGGTGTGGGGCAGAGATTCTCAGTTCAATATGTTGAATGGGTTACAGGTGTGCTCCTCAGAGTGGCTAGGTAAGGCCAAAGGAGTCCATGAGCAGCCTTGTCAGTTTACCAAGGTGTGAACTACCAATTGTACAAATAGTATCATTTCTGTGTAGCACAAAATGAGAAAAAGGCTTCGAAGCACTATGGGCTCCATTTTCTTCATCTGTTAACATCCAGTGGACATTAATGTAAGATAAACAAGCATAAGATATAAAGAATGATGTCTGACTCTCATTAAAGACTCTCTGTGTGCTGATATCTTTTCTCATGCCCCCTGTAAGCTACACACATTGGCTCCTCTTTTTCTGACTAGATCATTTAGTTCCTCCTAAACTGCTAGCTCGTATTGTCTTCATAGCCTAACACCCAAGTTACCTTTATTTTCTTCTTTTACCACCTCCTCCTATTCATGGATTAATAGTTTATGAATCTTTAAAGCTCAGGAATCCTAAATCCACTCATTTCAAATAGTACAGAAGAACTCACACTTTCACTCGCAGCACTTTACACATATACCAACCCAACTTATAAATTGATGATACTGAACTACCTCTCACAAACACATACACATAACACATGCTGTGAGGTAATTTTTCACTAACTAACTGTGAAATGATTAATGTCTATTATAGATAAAGTCTGTGTCCATGGAAAAAAATTTAACTAATTTGGGAATAAAACCACAAGACTTTTGTTAATGGAACCCTTTAAGCAATTAAGTTAACCATCAACTGTATTTTGTGATAAATGTTGCTAAAATATCTTAGTAATATGTATGCCTACAAATATTCATGGTTACAGCCTATTAGTTTCACTGGCCCTCACAATTATCAAAAACATCTAGGCCCTGAGAATACAAAGATATATACAATCCAAAATTATAAGGTATTATGACCTTCGGTCCTAAGTATGCCAAATGTTTAAAAGTAAAATAGCAACATTAAGAGATGGAATACTAGCTAATAGCACAAATTTGTCACTTATTACCACATGTTCCATTCCACAAACATCCTTGATGAGGTTGAAAGACAGAAAAAAACTAAGGAAAATACAAATATCTTTTTAAAGCCACAAAAATTGTAAGCATAACATTTACACTGAATAGTCAAAGAAAACAAAAAAAAGGTTATGTTAGGTACATACAATAATTTAAAGGAATCTAAAGGTCTTCAAAATTCGTGATTTCTGTATAAACAGGGATAAAAAATAATATAATTCAAAGAAGGGTGCTAATGAGATCATAGGCCAAGCTCTTATAACCCAGCTAATTCTACACAGAAAAAGGAATTTACTAGACTCCACCTCTAACCATTGCCAACCAGCTTAGAAATGTGTGCATTTGTCAAAGAAGAAATAAGGTGAAAGAGTATAAATTGATCTATGTAACTCTATCATATGACTAGAAAGTCATGAAAGATTTTGGCTAGCTATTTCACGAACTTATCTCCTTCTCCTTATAGGAAACTACATTTCCCAGCCTCCCTAGTAGTTAGTGGCCATGGCCATATGACTATATTCTAGACAATGGATTATAAGTGGAATGGTGTGTGCCATTTCCATGACCTTTAAAAACTTTCATTTGCTATCTTCATGCTCTCCACTCAAGACCTTGGAAATAAAGGAGCCAGAGAAGAAAAAAGAACCTGAACGAGCACTTGGAGGAGAGCCCTTAACTGATCGGGCATAACCGGTGTGGACTTCACACAGGTGAGAAATAAATTTCTATTATTTTCAGCTACAAAGACTTTTTGAGTTTATCTCTTACAGTTGATGGCATTACCTTAACTAATTCACAGTCTTTTTAATGTACATGTTCTATAGAATGCATATCGCTAGCACAATCAAAATGTGAAGAACAATGCACTACTAGAACATGAATATTAAAGAGCTTCAGTGTTGTTCACTGACTCATGAAAACCAATTGTGCGTATTTCTTCCCAGCTCTGCATTCCATGAAGTAATGTGGGTTAGTTTGAAAACAGCTGTGGTAGGTGTATTTAGACTATATAAATTGGAAAACATGATAAATTAGAGCTTTTTTTAACAGAAAGCTGGTTGTTAGCATTCATGAGCACACCACAAAGTATAATATTTTACTAAAAGAATTCTATGTTTTACTAAAAGAATAATACTACATTGAGTAAACTTAAATGAAGTAGGTAAAATTAAATGAAGCTGTAATTTACTACAAAAATTAAGATCATAAAATTCCAATTTATTTACAGATGGGCAAATACCTATTACTACTAATTCACCAATTTTTAATTCATTCATACAATACTCACTAAATGGCTAATATACAC